ACTGACAGGAAAAATAGGTTGGTACGGAGTATATCAAAGTATCTAGACGTGATCTCATTGTTCTGGTAACGTGGATTTTGCCCTGAACCATATAATATACCTGCTAAACTCTGAGTTGACCGGAGCAGTCTTTTACTGAGGTTTCGGATTTTGCAGGAGCCTCTGGGACTACAGCCACAACGTCCACTGCGTCATGGGCGTTGCGTCACTCTTGACAGCTTTCAGGGATCAATCTCACTTGGGCTACAGGTCAGGTCGTAAAGGCGCTGGGCCCGAGCCACGAGCCCTTTCTTTTACATACTAGGTAGATAGTTCAACCTTGGGGAATGGGGAAACGCCTGGAGAGGCACATGCAGAGAATATGTATGTAAAATTTTAGGACAAAAGTCTGACAACACCAGCCCCACTTCCAATCACCCTTATTACAACACCAACTGCATAAACAGCAATTGCAATACGAATATTCATTTAATTTAATCGTAAAGTATATCAATCAATAGCCCTGAATCAGGGCTTCAATATTTTGTATACCATCCCCGTGCCCGAATGACTGCACGAAGTCGATTTTGCACCGAAGTCGTCAGCTTCAAAATCAGGTGGGGAGGCAAGGCTGCCCACGCCTCTTGGCACCATCTGATCAACTTGGCTCTATCGGCCTTGTTATTCTTCAATCTTATGAATTCAGGGTGTATCCGACGAAGCTTGGCTTTCAAAGCTTTCCAGATGTGTTCAATAGGGTTTAAATCAGGCGAATGAGACGGCCAATTAATGGGAATAATCCCATGTAACAGCAGCCAATCCATTGACTGTTTTGCGATATGAATCCGGGCGTTATCTTGCTGAAATTGCTCAAATTCATCGATAAAAGGAAGAAGACCTTCCGTCAGGGCTTTATAATAAGACCAGCTTGAATATCCCTTCTTATTTGCTGTAATATCTCTCGTCATAGGAATAAGATAAGACTGCTTGTCTCTAGCGATAGCTCCCCAGAACATAATGGAAATAGTCGGTTTAATATGCTGCTGGACATTAACTAGGTCCGTACGGTATTTCTCATCAGGCCGGCGAAAGACCCAGCCGTCAGGATTATTCGGCGCATTCGAGACCGTGACTTCGTCTGTAAAGCAGATCTTTGAGAAAGTTAGCGTTGAAAGGGGTGGATTTTAACGGCATTTTACTAGCAAATATTCGTCGATACGATGAATCCAAAAACGCGCATGTTGTAGCCGTGCTTTTGCATCGTATTTTGACAGTTTAATCCTCTTCTTTGACCTCCATTTGCGCCGCCAATATCGCTCTAACCGACGACGTAGTGTCCGGGCTGATACTTCAACACCAAGCTCCAATAAAGCTTCATTCCAAGTAATTGAGCGGTTCCGTTTAATAAATGAGTTAATCCTTATAATCTCCAGCGCGCTGAGTTTCCTAGGACGCCCTTTTCGTGGTCTAGAGACGTTGTTGTGGTGTTCTTTCCACCGTTTGACTGTCCGGGAGACTGTCCCGGGATCAGTGGAGTAGGAGGCTGCAACTTGTCTCATTGATTTGCCGGCATATACCTCCGCCACCATAGCTGCTCTTTGCTCAGGAGTAAATTCATGATTTCTTTGGCGATTTCCGCTTATTTCGGTACCAAAATCGCGTTGTTCAGAAGCCATTAAGTATATAATTCTTATTATTAAAGTAATTGATGTTGTTTAGTGATGCCGACCGAAGCGGGGTAGACGGGCTTGGTGTTGTCAGACTTTTGGCACGTGATTTTACCTGTCAGGTTCGGTGAATTCAAGGTTCAATGAAAACTCCGCCTATACCGCAACAGGAACCTAGCCCTCCGCACCAGGAATGAGATCTGAATGTATCCTGAGGTTGAGGCTCTGAATGCACAAAGAGCACATAACGCCTGGAAGGCCCTACTAAGAAAGTCGCATCCATCCCTCTCGTCAATTGATAGATGTTTCTCGCCACGAAACAATGACTCTTCCATCTTCTCCTCACAAAAACGGGTTCGGCTTGTCCTCCGCCGTAACCCAAGACCTAAAGAGCGCACCTTCTGCCGCCCCCGGCTTTTTCAACCAATAGCTGTGCCGAATCTGCCGGAGGCTTATCACCGAGGGCCCCGAGCCGACAAGCTAATGACAAATCTTGGACCTGGAGCTCAACGCCTCCTCCACCAAAATTCACTTCTTCTTTTCTTCTTTCCACTGGCTTAGCTTGACGTTTCTTCGTCCTTGCAACTGCCAGACATTCAATCCATAATGTCTTCCAACATCGCTTCATGCGCCCTGCGCTCGGCGGGCCGAGTTGGCTTGAGCCCAGCCTCACGCGTTACTGTAGCCCCTCTGCGAGGTATGGCTCGCGCAGCTGTCGTGGCGAGGCGCACATCACGACGTGGATATGTATCCGAGACCAAGAGGGATAATGCTCAGGTTGAGACGGCTATCAAGCTCGATAAGAAGGCTTTTGCTGATATCCCTCCTCCTGATACTCCCTCCAATGCTAGCGTTAGCCCAATGGCTGGTAAGTGCATCTTTTCCCGCTCTGCCAAATGAGCGAGATTTATTTTATATTGAGGCTAATCATCCCCGAATAGAGGTCCTGAAGCAAGCAGCAGTTATGGAAGAGGGTCAGCGCCCAATCTACCTCGACATGCAGGCTACTACTCCCGTCGATCCTCGAGTTCTCGATGCAATGATGCCCTTCTATGTCGGCGTCTATGGCAACCCTCATTCGCGCACACATGCTTATGGCTGGGAGAGTGAGAAGGCCGTAGAGGATGCGCGTGAGCACGTCGCCAAGCTTATCGGTGCTGACTCCAAGGAAATCATTTTTACCAGCGGTGCTACCGAGAGTAACAACATGAGTATCAAGGGTGTCGCTCGCTTCTTTGGTCGATCTGGCAAGAAGAAGCACATCATCACAACACAGACTGAGCACAAGTGCGTGCTGGACAGCTGCCGCCATCTCCAGGACGAGGGCTTCGAGGTCACATATCTCCCTGTTCAGAACAACGGTCTCATCCGAATGGAGGACCTGGAGGCTGCTATCCGACCCGAGACTGCCCTTGTCAGTATCATGACTGTCAACAACGAGATTGGTGTGATTCAGCCTATTGAGCAAATCGGAAAGCTGTGTCGATCCAAGAAGATCTTCTTCCATACTGACGCTGCCCAAGCTGTGGGCAAGATTCCTCTCGACGTCAACGCCATGAACATTGACTTGATGTCAATTTCTTCACACAAGATTTATGGTCCCAAAGGTATTGGTGCCTGTTATGTCCGGAGACGACCTAGGGTCAGATTGGACCCTCTTATTACCGGCGGTGGTCAGGAACGAGGTCTCCGAAGCGGAACTCTTGCTCCCTCTCTCGTCGCCGGCTTTGGCGAGGCTTGCCGCATCGCCAAGGAGGAGATGGCTGTAAGTACTCATAACTTTCTTGAACCTCTGTACACATGATGAGTTGCTCTACACATGCATGGCTTTCTGAATGGCCCGTGACAAGGCCGGCCGTGTTGATCGAAGCTTCTGTCTGATCTACAACGTCCTTCAATCTTTTTCTTGTCCATATCTCCGTACATGAGATACTGACCTATTTATAGTACGACACCAAGCGCATTAAGTACCTCTCAGATCGCCTGCTCAACGGCCTTTTGTCTATGGAGCACACAACACAGAATGGTGCTGCCGACTCCTTCTACCCCGGTTGCGTCAACGTTTCCTTTGCTTATGTCGAGGGAGAGTCTCTCCTGATGGCTCTTAAGGATATTGCCCTGTCTTCGGGCAGTGCTTGTACCTCGGCCTCGCTGGAGCCTAGCTACGTTCTACGTGCGCTTGGCAACAGTGACGAGAGCGCTCACAGCAGTATCCGATTCGGTATCGGCCGCTTTACCACTGAAGCTGAGATTGACTATGTCCTCAAGGCGGTGCAAGAGCGTGTCACTTTCCTCCGAGAGCTGAGTCCTCTGTGGGAGCTCGTTCAGGAGGGTATCGACCTCAATACCATTCAGTGGAGCCAGCACTAAGCAAGCTGTGATGATGATGATTATCCGTTCACCCCGAGTTTCATGTTCAATCTCAGTCACTCTGGATGAATCAAGGACGTTAATGAAGATGACCGGCTGAAGCGAGGCTCAGTTGTGTCTGTATAGCATACTGTAATATCAGAGATACCTCTTTTTTTTATATTCTGAGGACGAAAATAAGGAGTCATTGGTCAAGGGGGCTTGCAACTTATGGAATGGATCAAAGGACGATAAACAGGCGCCTCTCATTCACATCAAGCACTTGGAACGTGCTTTGCCTGTTGGAAATGAAACAAACAATCGGAGTTGAGTTTGGCTTGAGATCAAAGACTAGAGTCGCACAGAATGAGACATGACCATTCATTATTGCGCATGTTGACCACGTTTTATCTTCTAAAATGGTACCATATCTGACGCAATGTTCTATGTTAGTGTTTGATAAGCGACAGTCACAGAGGTTTGCTTGAATGTTGATTATCACATGGGTGGCCAAAAGAGCACTTGTGAACGTAAGGTGGCTATTGCCTCAAATCTCGATCTTGACACTCCCGTACAAACACCCGGCATCAAGTGATGGGGTTGATCCAATATTATTACGTTACTCACCCACTCCTAAACGTGGAACGCGACTTCCTGGCGTTTGTTGGATGAATTCCATGTGTGCATCTGCTGCCTTCCTTTGTTGACGTCATAAACTACTACCCGCCAATAGCTTCTTCCACCTCTGCCTACCTGTGCGCGGCGCGTCACTGCATTCTCAACGAAAATGACATCATTGCACCATTGCAGTTGCCTTGGTGAGATATCTTTCTTCGTGATGGACTTCCTTCAAATTACTATAAAGTGTTCTCCCCTCCCGCCTTTCGACTCGACTTTATTCCTTCGTCAACATCCTTGAGACCCAAACACTATCAAGAACTTCAACCTACACACACACAAATAAAAAAACCAACCCCAAATCCTATCAAACCCACAATCATCAACATGTCTGATACCCCCCAACCTTCCACTCTCAAGTCCGTCGTCGACTCCGCCTCCGGTGCTGTCCAGAGCGCTATTGGCAGTCTTACTGGAAACACCAGCGACCAGGCCGCCGGCGACCTCAAGAAGCAAAAGGCCGAGGCCGAGCATGATGCCTCCCACGCTACCGCCAAGCTCCCCGGTGCCACCCTCTCTGGCTCCGGTGCCGCCGCTAAAGATGACCCCAACCGCACCGAGGGTTCTTGGAACCAGACCGCTGGCTCCGCTAAGGAGGCCGTTGGTGGAATCATCGGCAGCGAGGTAAGATGAATAACTCGAGTCATGCTTACTTTACTAACATGATCGATAGTCCCTGAAGAAGGCTGGCCATGAGCAGAATCTCGAGGGTAGAAACCAGGAGGCCAAGGGTCAGCTCAGCGATCTCGGCGCTGGCATCAGCGACCGTGTCCAGGGTACTTTTGGTGGTGCCGTCTCTAACCTCACCGGCAACAAGGAACAGGAGGCTCACTACGACGAGCTTCGTGCTGAGGGCAAGACCCGCCAGCGTGGTGTTGAGCACGACCTCCAGAAGCAGGCCGAGGCCGAGCGTCGCGAGTAAACCAACAACACCAACATTGGTACCAGTGGAGGGTGACGAGCATGAAATGACGAGAATATGATACCCCAAAGTTGTGGCTTGGACGGAAAAGGGAGGTCCTACTAGATACTCCTAATAAACACCATCAGCAGTTACTTATACGTTGCAATTTGTGAATACTATTTGTGAATGTTGACAGTTGTATTATGCTTTCTTGTTTGCACCGAAGCTGTTGCTCTGTACTCGAGTGTAGGATAAGGTAGACCGAGGTGGTTGCATTCTTTTACATCGGAACTGCGTCTGCTGTGCACTTGAGCATGCAACTCATCCTCGAAACTAAAACCATTACTGCACTCAAGGGGGCCGTATCACCACATCGATTGACATGGCCATCTGGGCTTGTTAGCGACTGAAATACCTAACCCTGAACGATATAGTAGTGATTCCACAGAATCTTGAAAAACTTGCAGTGCACGCCTACTACCCTTGAGAGATTTATGGGTTGTCCCTGAAGAACTTGACGTTTATCTCGACACGATTCCTTTAGGTAACAGTTTGTTGTGATCGAAGATATAGATTTCTATGGAGGGCGGTTGTTTCTTGCCGCCTAACTCGCTAGTTTTCGACTGGTGACTCTTATGAAAACACATTTTATAATTGTTTTCTGATTTGCAGAAGCCATGCATCGGCTGATTTATGGTAGACACGACCAGAAAAAAGCTATCATGGCCCGCAACTCTAGATGTTGGAAAAGACTCCTCACTCGGTGTTGTTGCCACGAGTACCATTCTGAGGCAGCGTACAACTCTGGGCCTCAGCGACTGCGAGGAGCTGGAGTATTAGAGGGAGCACTGAACTGTCCGATACGGGGTCACCTCAGGCAAAATAATGCCGTAGCTTTGTGTCTTGTGTGTTGGAAACCCAGTCCCTCATGCGTTTGCGTCTTGGTAATATTCACATTCACCATTTTACTGTGGCACTGCGACGTGAAGCATACGGCTTCGTAAGGAGTTGCCGTGCTATTGCTACCGAAGTACTCTAGTCACTTGAGTGATTGATAGAATGTTCGCATCTCGATTCTGTATTCCAATAAAAGCCCCTAGTGGCGACTTGACATGAGTAGCCCTGGTAGGTTCACAGCCCCTTGCGATAGGATGCTGCATATAGCTCACGCAAAAACGCACGTAGGCTTCAGTAACGGAGAATGAAGAGACGACTAGCGACCTGGAACCTGAGCTTTCCTGTCATTTGACAGATCAAGGCTACTATGAGAGTGATCTGAAGGGGGGGCAGTGATGGATGAAGGCGATATTGAGGAAGTCCAGGTCGGGGTTGATCCGTCACGAATACATCCAGCGATGGGAAATGTCGGTTCCAGGAGTGGGAAATGATATGCAAGGGTTTCGGTTGGCAAGCCCTGGCTCCAGCTGATGTGGTGAGTTGTACCATAGTAACCAAGAGAGCTCTTTTTTATTTTTACAAATAGCAACGCCTGCAACTTAAATAAGGACAGCAAACAAACGAATCCGAGCGGCATCTGAGAGAAATACACTAATGTATCATTCAGCAATACAGATACAACGTCCACGAAAGGGGAGTGTGGAGTTGAGGCAAATAGAGTAAAAGTACAGGAGCTATAGTGATCATTAGTCACAAATATATTTATTAGTGTACTTCACTCAGATAGTCTCGACTGTGTTCACAAAAGTACAGCCATGTACGGATACTTGGGAAGGGCATAGAACAACTGATAACAAGATGACTGGTGTGAGCAAAACGAACGGGCGAATGTACCGACAGAGTTAGCGGACGAGACAGAAAGAGGGAGGTGGGATAATCGTGGTATCAGTCGGACGAAGAGTGGTGAGTACTTGAAAAGAAGGAAAGGTACTTCTACCAAGTCTGCGTGACCTCTTGAAGACCTCTCCTTGGGTCGAACAAAGGCTTGAGAGTAGGCCCGAGTTGGCAGGGATCAAGACTGGGAAGAAAGAATCAAAGCACATCTCAGCAATATGGAGCCAGTATCAGACTCTTACAGTGTGTCAAACACTTTGTGACTGATCCTATGTCCTCGGTAGAGATAGAATCAAGTTCAGGGAACCCAGTTGCATCGGGATAGATGCAGGTCTCGTCTAAGGTGGGAGAACTAAACCAAGGATTCTTGGTCCGTCAGGGTAAACGTATAGCGTCAAGGAGCAATTCGGAGCACGAATGACCAAGTTGTTGGGCTGAGACGAGACGAAAGACCTATCAGGACGTCCACAAAGAGCCACATCATGAGAATATCACGCCGAGGTTTGACGGCACAGGAACATTTGACAAGGATGAAGATGGCTTAGACGCTACGATGTAGCCCTCTTGAGCTTCCGGAACACACAGAACCGTTCAAAGAGTTGAGTAAACCCCTCAATGGATCACCTTCGAGACCGGGAAGCGGACATTATCATGATGCCGAGTTGAAAAGTAAGTCAAGTTTGTGGAGGAAGTTGATGTTTCAAGGTGTAGGTATGGATTGTCGTTGATAAAGTCGGGGCTTAGCTTCATGCACGATTCGTATAGCATACCCTTGTCACACTTGTCGGCGTGTAAGAGGAGGATCAGTACGTTTAGGGCGATCCAAGCGAGCGATGAGGCTCAAAGATGAAGACTGACGCATTATCTGGGGTCCGTGACAGACGGAATAATAGCAGGCTAGCCCCTGTCAAATCGCTATACGAATCGTGCATTAGCGTTGTGTTGATGATTGGCCTTCGGAATTTTCTGGGGCAGATGGGGCAGAGTACCTGACGCTTTGCAGAAGACTCTGCAGCACAACAAGTACCTCAATTTCCAGACGCATGGATCGCCTGTCAGACCTCTTTACTGATTGGCTGGGTCCCCTGAGGGAGATTGCTCCGAACGGCCAACTGCAGCGCGCCAATAGCACAACACGTTTTCTTATTCGGATTCCCCATCGCGAGAATTGCACTTGGGGACGGACGGCAACTGCAAACTGCAACTTTGGGTGTTGTTGGCAACACGCCCCCCCTCCACCAACTTTCTCTCTCTCTCTCTCTCTCCATTGTTTGGGTTGGATATTTTGCACTTGACTTTTTGCTTTTCCTTCACGTCGGGATATAGGTATCATCGCCAAACCTACAGCGGATACTGTCTACCTAATTGGGCATTTTTATCTAATGCCCTAGTCTTTTCCACCCCAAGACACCATCACCGCCCCCTGTTCCTTCGAATTGCCGTGCCGTCTCCGAGGCGCGCATAACGTCCACAGCTGCATCTCTGGCTTTTCAAAGTGCATCTGAAGCGTCCAGTCCGATTGCTTCTTTCTGTTGTCTTGCGCACTGTGGGAAAAGCACAGTCTTCAGTCTGTGTGATCACAGCCTGATTGACGGTTCAGGCTCTCAAGGCCTGGCTCCAGCTTCTTAGTCTCTTTCTTGGTTCTGCCTCTGTTCAACTGTCCATTATATAAAGGTTCTCCCGAGCCCTTCCTTCAAGATGTCTTCAAGATATTCACTACGCCAAACTCCCAGGTTTGTTTGCGTCCCTATTCCTTACTTCCAAATTTTCCATCATGGACTAACTTTGCGCCTCCAGGAAGAAGGAACTCTTTGAGGGTATGGTTGAGACCCCTATTCGTCGCTCACGTTCAAATCGCCGCCAGACTTCCCAGCCTCTCTCAGACGTCGAAACCGAGTCAAACTCTGCTGCTGAGGGTATCTCGCGACCTACTCGCCGACGCACCGCTAGGTTCACCGAAGAGCTCGACGAGGACACAGATTCCGACAACATGGGAGCTGTCAATCGAGCCTCCAATGGCAAGACCAACGGCCATGCCAATGGCCATTCAAACGGTGATGCCACCAATGGACACGCCACCAACGGTCATGCCACATCCAACGATGTTTCTGGCGCTGCACCAATCAATTCAGTCATGGAGAAGACTGAGGGCGTCCCTCAAGACCCCAATGTAGTCGATGGCTGGAGACCTGGCCAGGACCCCAAGATTGACTACTCCGGAGAGTTCGAGTTTGGTGGCTCTTTGGGCACCGCTGCCATGATGATACTCTTCCCTATACTCATGTGGTATATGTGGATTGGCGCCACTTACTACGATGGCAAGTTTCCCTCCCGTGCCGAGGGTCAGTCCTGGGGCGAGTTCGCTGCTCACCTCGTCAATCTGGTCTACACTGGTGCATTCCCCCGCCTCCAGGTCTGGGCCTGGTACTGGTCTTATCTCATTGTTGAGGGTGCGTTCTACTGCCTCCTCCCCGGTGTCTGGGGCTATGGTAAGCCTCTTCCTCATGAGGGCGGCAAGCAGCTTCCCTACTACTGCAGCGCCTACTGGAGTCTTTACACCACTCTCGCTTGCCTTGCATTTCTACACTTCTCTGGTATCTGGCCTCTGTACACTGCCATTGATGAGTTCGGTCCTCTTCTGTCTGTTGCTATCCTCAGTGGCTTTCTTGTCAGCTTTGTAGCCTATTTCTCTGCTCTTTGGCGTGGCAAGCAGCACCGCATGACGGGCTACCCCATCTATGATTTTTTCATGGGCGCCGAGTTGAACCCCCGCTTGTTTGGCATTCTCGACTTCAAGATGTTCTTCGAGGTTCGCATGCCTTGGTACATCCTCCTCATCCTCAGTCTTGGCGCCGCCGCTCGCCAGTATGAGCAATACGGCTACGTCTCTGGCGAGGTTTGGTTCCTCGTCATGGCTCACTTCCTCTACGCCAACGCCTGTGCCAAGGGAGAGGAGCTCATCATCACCACCTGGGATATGTACTATGAGAAGTGGGGTTTCATGCTCATCTTCTGGAACCTTGCTGGCGTTCCTCTCTCTTACTGTCACTGCACTATCTATCTAGCTAACCATCACCCTGATGTGTACCGCTGGAACCGCGGCATTCTCGCTGCCATGTTCGTTGGTTACCTCTTCTGGTACTGGGTCTGGGATAGCTGCAACAGCCAGAAGAACCGCTTCCGCGCTATGGAGAAGGGCAAGTTGGTCCTACGCAAAACCTTTCCTCAAGTCCCCTGGCAGACCATCCACAACCCCAAGACTATTGTCACCCCTCAGGGAACTATCCTGGTTGACGGTTGGTATGGTCTTGCCCGCAAAATTCACTATACCGCCGATGTGTGGTTCGCCGTTTCTTGGGGTCTGATTACAGGTTTCGAGAGCCCTTTTCCCTGGTTCTATCCAGTCTTCTTCTGCGGTATGATCGCTCACCGTGCTGCTCGAGATATCACCCGTTGCCGTCGCAAGTACGGTGACGCTTGGCTCGAGTATGAGCGACGTGTACCTTACCTTTTCATTCCTGTAGGTTTCCACCAAAACGTTGCTCAAACCCTGATTCTAATAGTCTCTTAGTACGTTATCTAAGGAGTCGACGACGCCAATCGGGAGCAATTCAGAGTCGTTCCGCCCCCGAGGGTCATTTAGTGCCTATTTATTATTCTCAGTCAGTGGCTCTTGATGCCACTAGGTGTTTTGGTCAGTGGAAATGTGTACATGGAAACAAAAACCGGTATCATGTCTGGGAGACAAAAAGGGAAACCCACACACGAAGAGATGAAGAGACGTAATACGAAGGGGGTGTATAAGAAAGCTGTAGACATCAACCTCTATTGGTTTGTATAAGGTGTCAACTTGCTTTGGGGGGTTCTTAGACCTTGTAATCTTTTACTTGCTCGCATTTGCATACTTGTTATCAAGCGAGGATACTATATTAAATTACTGTATTAATATACTCTTATTGAGCATTACGCCTGTGAAACAGATGTCGTGAGCACTTGCAACGACCTGGTGTGTTCCAGTTATCTCAGGACTTATACGTTGCCCGTCACAATCGGCGAAGTATGTGTTTGTAAGATGCTAGATTGCTATTCAATTGACCTGACGATGTATGAAATGGACATATACGTTAAGTTCCAGTACAAAAAAAAGAACAATTGGCAATAGCATACACTAATACTCGAGTTCCCTTCACCGTCTATGATGAGAAGCCACCCAGAGAATAACACGCATGTTGAGAGTATTTTACAGAAACCATCCTCCTATTTCGTCCCAGCCCCTCTTCTCCCATAATAGAAAACAAAAACAGTAGCTCAAGTCCATTATTCCATGATCGCGCGCAAAAGGGGCAGGTATAAAACCGTGCCAACCCAACGCCAGCGTTAACAACCCCTACTGCACCGTCCATGTTCGGGACAAGGAGTAAGGAAAGTTGCCAACGCTATTAGTGTTCATTCAGTCGACCATACCCTGAGCAGCTCTTGTGATTGAGTTCGGTCTTGTCAGGCTGTCATTCAAGGCAGGGCTCCTGTTCCGTTATTGATTTAGCATACAGCATCAACGTTGGCCTTGGAGTTCATGAGGAGGGCAACAATGAGACCGTAGAGACCTGGTCAAGAATGTTAGCCAATTGGAAATGTCAGATTAAGCAACCAAGACGTACCCAAGACTTCAGCGAAAATGAGAATAAGAATCATGCCGACGAAGAGACGGGGCTGCTGGGCAGTTCCTCGAACACCAGCATCACCAACAATACCAATGGCGAAACCGGCAGCGAGACCAGCAAGTCCGACGGAGAGACCAGCACCGAATTGAATGAAACTAGTGAACAGAGGAAGGTCCTGCTTCAGGCCATCGGAAATAAGGACGGAAACGACAAGACCGTAGATACCAATGATACCAGCCATAATGACGGGAACAATGTCTGGGAAAGTTAGCATCGCAAAATTCGTGGGGATTGGATTCCAAGGGCCGCGTACTCTTGACGATCAAGTCGGGGCGGAGGACACCCATGGCAGCGATACCGACACCAGACTTGGCGGTACCGTAAGAGGCGCCAAGGCAGGTGAAGACAATGGCGCAGGTGCAGCCCATAGCACCAAAGAAGGGCTAAATGATCGTTAGCGATGTGAAATTCGATATTGAATCGATATCGTCGACCGCCTCACGATGGAGGTTTAGGCGTCGCGAGGTGACGTCGACGGCATGGATGACGTGGAGGACTAACCGAGTAAACGGGGCTGCAGAGACGCGCATGTTAGCTTCAATCATCAAGAAGGATGTAGTGCGAGGTCATTCCGATGGCTTTTCGCGTTGCTAGGCGATGCCTGAAGCTTCCGGTGATGCATAGGGAGCTTGATGATGATGGGGGCAAGGAGGCGCGCAAGCACGTACCAAAGTTCGCTAACCATCTTGACGGTTGTTTATCTGAGGATAAAGTAGGTATCAATCGAACAATATCGTGTTCAAGAGTCAGAAGGTGCGTCGAGTAATCGGAAGACGAGCTAAGCTGTCGGGAGATGAAGTCGTTGGATAACAGGAACCGTTTGCTTGGGGTTTGAGACGAAGATGTCGAGGTAAAGGTGTGCTTGTTAAGGTCTCATTCCAGGTTGGCGTCTGGTTGGCGGCAAGGTTTTGCTGGACTCTATTGGGAGGGAGAGGCACGGGGAGCATTACATAATGCACTACGGAGTGGCTGGTGTTTCGGATAAAAGATGGGCCAGACACACTGGTCACTGACTGGTGGACTCGAAACAGGAGAAGTGGGACCAGGAAAGCCTCGCAGCAGCAAGCCACACAAGGCTCACTGTGCCACATGTGAATTTTTCTGCCGCCTTGGCG